TGACTTGATGCATAACATTTTACAATCACTCTCACACTCTCTAAACCCTTAGTTTTGGTTAGTTACAATACAATGGCATGTTTTTTTAACTCTGCGAAACTTCAAAATAAATCACCACATTCAATTAATTTTTGACTGCCGTGGGTGGATTGGGGTATACTTAACAAGCTAAAAACTTTCTATGACAGAATACGCAGTGTGGTCAATTGAAAACAATATAACGATACGAAAAAATCAATTTTTTAAATATTTTCTGGTTTTCAGTTTCGGTTTCTGGGTTTCAGTTTTCAGTTTGACACACCCAGTATACTTCTGTCTGTTGTAACCCATCATGTGCTGGGGTTACTGTGCGAAGACTGGTGATTATTTAGGGGACGAGAAAGAGTAGAATGGGAAGTTACGCCATACAGATACTCTTGCAGATCATTATTTCTTAAAATAAACATTTGTTTATTTTCTCTTCAATCATTTATATAAAAAATAAAATATCAGATTTTTCTGAATCCGGAAACGGCCAGGTAAATTCAAATTTATTCTTGGCCGGGCGTAAGTAGACTGGATTAGCAAACAGTGCTACCAGTTAAACTTTATAATACACTTTCCACTGTGGCATAATTAAAAAAAAAAGTAGCGCATTTAATTGTATATTTAAAAATAATTTGGTAAAGAAGTCCGTACTATAGATGAGTATCTATCTAATTTATTTTTTTTTGTATTTCAGCATTAGATCGTTGGTTTTTTATTTTTATTGAAATATTTTCTAATATTTTGTAAATTTTTACAACTAACATTATTATCATTATACTTTATAAAAAATCGGTAGAAATATATATTTTTTTGTTTTCCCTTCTGGTCAAAAGTAAGTAAAAGTAAGAAAAAGAATGTGCCTATATACGGGTAAGTGTTGCCTTATACACAAGTTAATTTAAAATATTTAAAAGTGGTTTCTATAGGACTCCCACTCACAAACTTGTATAAATTGTGCTTACAATACACGAAATTACAAAAAGTCTGACATGTATGAGGACCTAATAGGATCTTAGACAAACTCGAGCGATTTAACAAACTGCTAGGTACCCTTAAATAGCTATATAGGAGAGATGTTTTGGTAATATGTTTTAGTGCACTAGAATTGCAGGAAATATGAGAAAGCAATTAAGGTGCAAGTTTTACTAGAACAATCACAAGAAATACTCCTTGACAATTACAATTCCTTGTAAAACTCATTGTGCGAAAGTTTTCGTTTGTTATCACGCTTAGTGAAAATAAAATTAAAAGAAGAAATTATTACCGCAGAAAGTCGGGAATTACCAGAATCAGTTCAGCTGCAACTGCAACAGGAGGAATTGAAACGATAAATCTGCAGGATAATTTTGGGAAGTCTGAAGGTATTACAGGAAACTATTCAAAATTTTGGGGTACTTTATTTGTAGGTCACCTATCTCCTTAGGGATGTAAGTAAATACTGCAGTACGTACACACATAATTTGACACTGATTAAATAGGAATAGTTCCATCAATAAATACTGATTTTGTAAATCTGCTTGTTGGATTCGGGATAATATGTCTAGGCAAAATATTATATGCACAACTTGGGAAGAAGAGATCATGTTTTTAGATAAGTTATGAGACTGATCCATGTTCTCTATCCCATTTTTTTTGTAGACTTGTTTATATGTCTGTTTCCTAGTTTTGATCCATTAATCACATATCCATGTATCCATTTTATTTTTTAGTTTACCAAAATATGAAATTGTAAGGAAACAATGGATAACATTCCTTGTCAAAAATTGAGCTTCCTGGGAGGCGCCAATCATCCTATTGGCTTCTTCAGAACTTGACTGAAACCGACGCAGGAGTAATCCAGAAGTTTTGTAAAAAGTAATGTAAAAGTTCCTTGAAAAGAATATCACTGAAGCATCTTATGTCGGACGCCATTGTGCAAATTAAAAATAAATTAAATATATATATATATATATATATATATATATATATATATATATATATATATATATATATATATATATATATATATATATATATATATATATATATATATATATATATATATATATATATATATATATATATATATATATATATATTCTCACGTATTGATTCACGGATGGAAAAATGTGATGACACTATATTCCGGGATATCATCCGTTCGCTCGTTGAACTCCGACTGGAGTCCTGCATCCGACTGGAATCCTGCAAATCTTGCATCCGACTGGAATCCTGCAGACGTTTCGCCAAAATCTCACTTGGCATCTTCAATGCTCGCGCTCCGAAAACACTTCGAACACTGTGTTCGTCTTATCAATGTGGCTTGTCGATTTACATATTCGTTATGTCTGGTGTGAATGTTGTAAAACTGTAAATTATCGAACAACTGTATAGTGAACCGTTGATTTTTGGCATAACGTATGTAATCGTAATATAAAAAAAATATGTATGTTTTATTGTTGTGCATCTATTTTTATACTATTTTTAATCACTTTGTATGTTCTAGTAATTTTTAATCATTTTAATCTATTTTGGTGACTCCTATACACATCTTCATGTATTTTTTTATGTATGGCCAGGAAAACAATGCTATAAATAATTTTATTAAAAAATACATTTTTGTAGGTTAAAATTAAACGTCTGAAGAAGGTCTTGATGACCGAAACGTCACAAAAAATAAAATGTTTCACAAGTAACGGAAACCTATTTTAATTTGACTAAAAAGGACCAAAAAAACAAGAAACATTTCTTAAGAATATATAAAATCAAAAGGATCAAAGGATGACACTATATTCCAGGATATCATCCGTTCGCTTGTTGAAGTCCGACTGGAATCCTGCATCCAACTGGAATCCTGCAGACGTTTCGCCAAAATCTCACTTGGCATCTTCAATGCTCACTCCGAGTGTTCGAATGTTTTCGGAGCGGAGTGTTTTCGGAGCGCGAGCATTGAAGATGCCAACTGAGATTTATATATATATATATATATATATATATATATATATATATATATATATATATATATATATATATATATATATATATATATATATATATGCAGACGTCTGCAGGATTCCAGTCGGATGCAGGATTCCAGTCGGAGTTCAACGAGCGAACGGATGATATCCCGGAATATAGTGTCATCACATTTTTCCATCCGTGAATCAATACGTGAGAATATATATATATATATATATATATATATATATATATATATATATATATATATATATATATATATATATATATATATATATATATATATATATATATATATATATATATATATATATATATATATATATATAATTTAGGAAAAATTAGCTGCTATAGTGTCTATAGCGCCTAAAGAAATAAAACGCGGAAATACGTACAGAATTATACTAAGGACGCCGATCCGTCTGCTGTAATTCAGCATAATATTAACTGTGCACTTGTCGCTAATTTTTATAATAAGACTTTCTACACCTTAATTCCTTTTTTGCTTGAAAATTTAATGGGATTTCGACATATTTTGAGAAAATACTGGCATAAAAATGCAACATCCAAACATTGACGACCTGGCAGCGGCCATGTTGGCTGTTGGGCCGCAAGGCCTTATGGGTCGAACGTCAGAATGTGCAACTAGAGCTGCCATTTTTTAAAAACAAAATTTCAAATCTCGCGCATGCGCATATTTAACAGACCTTCTCAAAATTTGGTGACATAGTTGCTTCACGAGTTCCTGTACAATTAGCATAGGCAGGGCCTCCATATATCTAATAGCTATATATTACCGCATTTTGACGTTTGTCAATTTTGATGGTCTTACCAGTCATACAAATTAGGTATTTCTTTTAAATTGTTAAATCTTTATGTTTTTAGCTAAAATCAAATAAAAATTCTGTGTTTTTAACAACAACAATATGTGTTTGGTCCCTACTTGTGAATCCGATACGAATAAGTTGGCATTTTTGTTAATGATTTATGACAAGACAAGGATATAACCAGTACGTGCTAAGCTTCTATAAATACAAATTAGTAGATTAATTCATTAATTATTAAATTATGCATACCACAATAAAAGGAAATTACCGCAATACCAATTTATTGAAGGGTACTTTGATACTAAAATGTTGACTGGAAATAACAGAAGGAACGATTTTTCTTTTTCTTTTGTTTCAGGAACATATCCAGTAAAGTAACATATAATACCATGGTAAAACCGATTTCTAAAAATAGATTATATTTTCACAAATTTTGAAATTAATTAATACAAACTTCTGTCTCAGATCATTAGAATGTAACTTTGTAACATTTATTTCATCTTGCTTGATGTGGGTGTTTAGTGCTCTCATTTTCAAAACTTCTGCATATTCCTACGTCCCTTACTTTAAGTGTTCTGTCGGGTAATGACATATTCAATAATTGATAAATATCTTGTACAGATAAAGGTGCTCATCTAAAATGTTCAAAGATCGCAAAGTTAAGTTTACACTAAAAAAACCACATTCACAACCATAATTCCCTTTAGAAAAGCCATCGACAAAGTACGACAAAGAAGATTAACGCATTCGTTTGTTAACACAATAATTAATTCAGAACGTCTTCCGGTAGTTTTAGCTCATTTTTGACGACCATTCAGCAGAAAACCACTTTTGTGCGGTCGTTATTTTGTTCCACCTTTAGTATTTAGCAAATAACCAGTTTCTAATCCCAAAAATAAGAATGTCGGATAGACTATTTGAAATTAATTATGTTATCGTCATTTTATTGAGGCAGGCATGTGTCGCGCGTTGTTCTGCATGACAGACGAAACATTCCGAGGAATGCTACTAAAATAATAAGCTTGTTAACATTCCACGGAGCAAATGAAGCATGATAAGTTTATATTTTGCGTTTCTAATAAAATCGATTAAATAACCGCCTTAACCCTTTTGAAAATTTTCCGGAAAATTACGACTTTACTTCGCTTTTAGTTTTACGCGATAATAAAATAATTTGCTCTGTTGCAGGATGCCAGTTCTATCCGCAAGGGGAATACCTAAGATTTATACGGGTACCTGAGAATTTGAAAGTGGGGGAAGAAGTGTTGCGTATAGAAGTGCACCCTAGGAACAACTTGGTATTGCAACCTATCGATAGAGTAAGTGACGTTTTTTTCTTATGTGGCACATAAGAACTTAATCAAAATTAATTGTACAATGAACGGCGAAAATATGGAACAAATTCATAGAAAAATCAGGGAATGCAATTTGCAATTACTGCTTATCTCGGGTTATAGCTCTAACGCTTTTTATATCTTTTCTATATTTCCTATTCAGAGGTGTGTCCACTATACGATCTGGAAACCCAAAGGGGATACGAGAAACGTGTTGTCAAAAACTTGCTTGGACTCTGCTGAAGATTTAAAATATTATAATTTTGTTGATACAGAGTGTCCCAAATGTGTCCCCCGACATCAACTTTATTTTAAATGGAAGACCCTGTCTATTTCAACATTTTTGGAATCCTTGGTTAAAATAAAGGTCACTTTCTTAAAAAAGTCCTATTCGAATTTTGCATAGTTTAGGCAAAAAATGAGGTCATGTGTTTTTTTTTTATATTTTAATTGCCCCATATAAAATTGTGTTGTAACGCTACTGATATAGGCATTGCAACGAAAATTTAACCACAAGCTAAGGATGATGCACACTGCTTAATCAGTTTGACAGATCCGCGTCAGCTTATACAGGGTGTCGCAAATAGGTGGGGCTATTTAGGAGAATTCAATTAACAATATCTCAAGATTTTCAAATGGAACACACTATATTTTTATTCAGATATCTATTCTAGGACAAAAAATAAGGTAAGTTTGCAATTTATTTTACATTTAAATCTTACTTACTTTTTGAGATATTCAATGTTTAAGATATTAATAACAAATTCTTGTTAAATTTAAAGCTGTCCACATTAGGTCACGTTTTGGCAATATTAGACACATGATACCACTTCTTTTAAAGATATAAAACTCCAGAAATACGAATAAGCTAACAATACCCATTAATAAGTGCAAATTAAAAAAAAATCGATTCTATACTACACAGTTTAACCGATTCCATAAAACTTCCGAATTCATATTTAAAGAAATATTTAATAGTTAATTATCTACCTTGATTGAAAATACCTGATTAAAAAAATAAATAATTAAAGTTTATAGGATAACTAAACAATTTAACAAATTTGAATAAATAAATCTATAAAACAAAAAAAAGACAGAAACAAGTAACTAAAAAATTACTTAAATATGATGATAGCCGTTCCTGAGCAGAATATTGCAGCATTATAACTAAAAAACTTATTTAAAATACAAATGAAATATATACTAAAAAAAAACGAAACTATGAACTTTTTAAATAGAAATATGAAAGGCAACAGAAACAAACAGAAATGTCAAAGTTTGTTTATACCTTAATGCGTCAAAAAAAAGATTATGATGTCATAGCCATCTACATTTTTATATATTATGATATTTCTTTATTGATTTGATGCCAGATGAAACAAGCATTTTAAGAGGAACATTTTTAACTAAACTTTATGAACCGAATTAACAAACTCTTTTTAGCTAAATTTTTGTTTATAGATTTATTTATTAAAATTTGTTATCTTGTTTAATTAGCCTATAAACTTTAATTATTTTTGTTTATAGGTATTTTTAATTAAGTTAGATAATTAATTATTAAATGTTTCTTTAAATATGAATTCTGAAATTTTATGAAATTTTTTAAAGTGAGTATAGAGTCGATTTTTTTGAAAATTTCCATGAATTAATTGACACCCTGTATTGTCGACAATAGCCTTTTTTTGTATATCTGGAGTATTATATCTTTAAAATAAGGAGTATCATGGCTTTGCTATTTAAAATATATATAGTAACTTAATGTGCCATCTTAAATCTCGAATATCTCAAAAAGTAAGTAAAATTTTAATGTAAAATAAATTACAAACTTAACCTCATTTTTTTGTACCACAATTGATATCTGAATAAAAACATTCTCTGTTCCATTTGAAAATTTTGGGATTTTGTTAATTGAAGTCACCAAAACGGCACCACCTATTTAGGACACCCTGTATAAGCTGAGGCGCATCTATCAAACTCATTGAGAAATGCATAATCTCCATAGTCTGTGGTTAAATTTTGGTTGCAATACCTGGATCAGTAGCATCACAACACAATTTTATATGGGGCAATCAAAATATGAAAAAAAACACATAACCTCCGTTTTTGCCCAAACTATGCAAAATTTGAATAGGAATTTCTTTTGAAAGTGAACTTTATCTTTACCAGGGATTCCACAAATATCGACATATATAGGGTATTCCATTTAAAACAACAAGGTTGATCTATGGCGGGACACTTTTGGGACACCAACAAAATTATAATAGTTTAAATCTTCAGAAGAGTCCAAGAAACTTTTATAGGAAAAACTCTTTTCTATGCAAAGGTTGATTATTCTTCCATTGCTGTCTTTAATATATTCGCCATGGATATCAATCACGTTTTGAGTTTTAATTATTCTTTTTCCCATCTACCATTCAATTCGTTGAACTGAGGTGGCTTTTACTTGATGACAATCCATTTATCAAAATAAATAAGAAGTAAAAGTTCAGATTTTCACGAAATTATGTATTATGACATAACAATTGTTTCGACAACACCGTGTCTTTATCAAATGTGACAGCCTGGCCCTGATTTTAATTTTATTAGATATTGCCGATAATCTCCATCGTGTCTCTTGAAGTAGTTGCAAATAATGATGTTAGCCAAGGAACCGCTCTGCGTGTATTAAAAAAACAAAAGTATCATCCGTACAAGATTACATTACTACAAAAAATAAATGTATGCGCAGGGATTTTGAATAACAAAATTTAGGTTGTGTAATGAGTCTCTCTGGACATTTTGCGTCAAACAAATTACAAGTTTCTTCATTTCCCGCTTTGTTTCCGTATACAATAAATGCAATTTCAATTCTCTTTCATTTAGATTCGTTAAATTCACTTTCTTTGCTGACAGAAATGTAATTGAGACAATTTAAGAACTTTACTGGTACTCTCCTACTTGCCAATTAATTTCAAAATTTAATTTCTTTTTTTTATTCTTTTGTTCTTAATATGCGACAAGAAATTTTCTTTTAATGATGATATGACAATTATGATGATCATGTCTGTCAATTTTCTTGAAATCCAATGCCAGTTCATTAAATGAATTTGTTCCATATTTTATCTATTCACTGTACATGAAAGGATGCTGAAAATTATTCTACATAAAACTGTAAAAACTATTAAACCGCTTGAGTATTCGGTTTTAACAACAAAGACTAATTGCAGGCTATTTTCCTTTTCAGGCAGAGGATGTACAATACTTCACGTATCGTAATCTTAATAGGACCACGGTATCTCTTTTGCTCGCGAAATCGCTGGAGGACCTAGTGGATACGGATAATCCTAGGAACGTCCTAAAATTTAAACTTAGTTGTGATTTTAACGATGGCGAAGATACTGTAAGTAGAAGCAAATACTCCATTATTTAATATTAGTGATCATATTACCTGTTTTTGCTAAAATCCTCTCTTGTATTGATCACAGATCTATTAAATTCGCAGACCTTTAAGAAAGGCAGTTATGAGCATGTTACTGGGCTACATGAATAATGTCATTACTAATATGTATATACATAAATAATAGCGAAATTAATTTTTTGACCTTATCTTAATACAACCTGTTGAAACTCCCTAAACCAATTAAAATCTTTTTGAAACATTAGAGGTACTACGAAAACTTCTCAATAATATTGTTAATATTTATTTTCACCTGTGTTCCCCCATTATTTATAAATTATTATTTTTTCTAAAAAAATTCTACAGAGGCAAAAACTAATATTCAAATTTTCTGTTGTTCCCCGTGGGTTTTAAATTGAACCAAATTTTTAAATTCACATATAAAAATATTTTCTTCTAATGTGAGGTGGTAAAAGGTCCTAGAGCAATTAAACCAAAATTTACAATAGGTAAAGATTAAATTCCGGAATTCCTTATACATGACTGTATAATGTATGTCTGAGAAACCAAGCCATCCATGGTATATGGAAAATGTCTGAAATTGTTCCGTATATAAAAAAGTACTGGTCCTAAGGTGCCCTAGTGACTTTAAAATGAAACATATAATAAAAATATTATATAACTCATACACTCGATCAAAGTTAGAGTATGCATCAATAATTTTTCACTTCCACATGCTGCTATTTACAAGACTTGTAAATTCCTCTTGCATTGAATCGAACTTGCTGACATTTCACCAATCATCCTGTTGGCTTCCTTAGAGCTTAACTGAAATACAAAAACTCTCTATGGCTTATATGGAACAAGGATCTACTTATCCCTATATTTAAGAAAGTCCAATGCTTTAATTTAAATAATCTCCTCTCTTAATTTAACAGAACCCCAAACTTTTCAGGAGCCTAAAAAAAGCCACTTTACACTTTACTCAAGCACTACATATTATCAACAGTATACTTCAATTAGTAGATGAACGTGTTACCGACCAAGTCTATTAATATTGGAATGCATTTAAATACGCCGCTCCAAGATATATCAAATATTCAATGGGGTTCAGATCTGGCGACTGGGGTGGCTATTCGATTAAAGTTAATAAATACATTTATTGCTTTGCCAAATAAACATATTATTAAACTACAAAACATTATATGGTAATACTTTTGAAGCAAACAAAAGGCCTAATAAAACTCAGACATCCAGCAAAGCCAGACACTGTTCAAACCTTAATTTAATGTAAACCAAGTGACCCTAAGAACAAGAGAAAAAAACCAAATAAACAAAATTAAATATGTTACGAACAGTTTATAATTCATTAATCAAATCAAATATAGTTTTTTATAAAGAGAGAAGTCGCAGGACAAAGGAGAAAGGAGGGGATAAGAGTAAACAGCAGAGTGGTTTTTCGATAGAGAAATTATTGAGTTAAGAAAATATCCTTTATACCCGTTTTTAGAAGTTTTGGTTGACCTTGTTGAATCGAAAAGATTTAAATTTTTTATTGTATGTGCAATGCTATAAGAAAACGATCTTTTAAACATTTCTTTTCGATGTTGTGGTATTCTCAATATAACATTTTTTTCTTAGATTGAAGTCATGTACGAAAAGTGATTTTGTTAAAAAGATATCAGGAGATTTATACTTAATTAATTCAAAATAGAATGTAGCACTGTAGCAAATATGATCCTGTCGGCGAACTCCATAAACAAGCCGCAATCATGAATCTTGTATTTTCTGTATACGATATTATGCAGCAGCGTACAGGCAGATTGCGTACACACCACAGCAATGGAACAATTGGAAGAAAATATCCATGACTGCATATTAACTTTAAATTCCCATATGCTATTCTCAATTTGTTTGTAACGTGATTATTGAAGTGCAGATTAGAGTCCAAGATTAGTCCGAAACTTTTCGATGTATTCGAGTATGGTCTGCGAGTGACATTAATTTTTATGATCATTTTGTTTTTTACATTATGTACCTGTGAGTCATTTCCAAAAACCAACACCGACGACTTAGTTGGATTTAAATGCAGTAGATGATCGGATGCAATTTTATAAAAAGTGCTTTGAATGGGTCCATTTTCTCCATGCAGGGGTACTGATTGACGTGCATACTATTATATATTTTTGAAAAGATAAAAAAAAAATGTGGTTTATAAATCTACCAATTCACATTTTCAATAAGTTAACTCATAGTTAAGATACGTGGCAGAAAATACAATATTTTCAATTTGCCTGTGTATTTGAAAAACTGGAAAGGCTACGAAAATTTTACTAATTTCATCTTTAGTTTCACGAAAAAGTAATATAGTACACTGTCGCGAAAACCGCAACTATAAAAATAGCGGAGAAACCCCACGAAAGTGCCCAAAATGAGACACTCAGTAATGAACGATTGGCCTCGTCCCAGATTGAGATAAACATCCACGGAGCATTATGTTCGCTTCTCCGTAATTCGTACTAAGAATCGGGTAGTTTGTCTTAAATCTTGTGCCAACTATCCAAAACTAACCAAAACAATCCTTATTACATATTACATCCAATCAGGAAAAATTTGCAGTCATGATTCCAAAAATCGGTATTCCATTTTTCTTTTTACCAAGACAGATAAACTGTGGCATCCATTTTTCTTTGAGAGAAGCCGTTTGTAACAGCAGTCTTTCCATACGCCGTTGATTAAACGGTATCTTAACATCCTAGATTTTAGGATTATGATTAAAGATTTATTGTGCGTGGCTGTGGCCTTGTGTTCACTCCTCCATCAGATTCAGCCTTCGTAGAATACTGTTAGAATTTCAGCTCCCAGTTTTGAGGATCTGAGTCTTTGTCACTGTCTTTGAAATTTGATTGCACTTCTTGCGGATTAGCATGATATAGCCATCCTACAGTTTACTTCAATGCCAGAGATTTTGTTTATAGCTTGTTTAGATCATTTTCGGATATATTACTTGTAATCTTCTTGATAATGCACTTTTAAAAATAGTTAAAGTCATTGTAACTATAATTTTTTTCCCATTTTAAATAAATCTATATTCTTTCTCTAAAATTAGATGAAGGGTAACAGCGACTGGATATGATAAATAACTCTTTTTAGACAGTATTTGCACTGTAAAATCCAGACTGCGTAATTTAGAACAAAATTATTTTTTCATCTATAATCCCTAATCTCAAAAAAGATATTGTTAAACATAATAACAAATGTGTATCGGTGGCGCCTCTCTGTACATAAATTAAAAAAGCTTGAAAATAGCACTGTATAAATAAATTATTGGTGTCAGGTTCTCCCAGTACCAATAGATAGGAAGTCGTAATTACTTTTTGGGGGCGGGCCCGTTAAAAGCCAGGATGATATACTTAGAGACACACTTTACACATAATTTCTCGAACTTGCTCGTTTTCGCAGCTATTTCCATATCTGCAATGAACCGTGTATTACTTTCAGGTGTATTTACGTCAGGTAGTGAATTGAAAACCCGTCGCGCATCTGCCAGAGCCGTTTCATGCTTTTTAAAATAGCGCAACGTACACTATTTTTAACGGATCTTTTTTTCTATTAAACAGTATATATGCTTAATGGTTTTGAACACATGTGCGGAACGCTGGAATCGATAGTCTTTATATGTCGATTTATTACCAGAGTTTGAAAGGAAAATTAAGAGATTAATTAAATGAAAATTGCTCTTCGAATATTTTTCAATTATTGATATTTGAGTGTTTGTACTTTATTTTTATAAGTAAGATATATTCTGTCTCAAAGTAGTCTATATTATCGACAGCGGCTAACTAGTCGGTATTGCAGGATATTTTAAGATGCCTTATCTCAATAAGTTCTACACTGAGGAAAAAAGTTTGTTTGACTCTAAGTATATATATTTTTAATAGTATTTATCATATGTAAATGAGGGTTCCGTTAAGCCAGGACAGTAACCAACTTCCTTTTTTTAAATTTATAATTCCTTCTTTTAGATATCATTCAATAGCATACGAAATTTTGAGTACTTTTGGAGTAATCAATTAATTGATAATCTGCGGGAATATTTTAAAGAACTCATTGTTTTTCGACAAGATAGTGCGTCAGATCATACCGTCGCGCCTGTTCGAAATTGTTTAAATCAACCTTTTCTATTTTGGATTGGTCGATTCAGGATCATGGATTGGTCAGCGAGAAGCGCTGACTTGGATTTTCTTTAATGGGACTGCATAAAAAACGAAAAGTAGAAACACAGGTGTATTACTGTTCAAAATGAGACACGGTTAGAAAAGCTAATGAAAAAATTGAAACCATAAACGCTACTTGTAATGCCAATGATGAAGGTTATGTAGGAAATGTTTTGTAATTAGTAATTAGTCCTATTTATTTGCTTTACTTGTTGATTTTATATTGACTTTAAGTAATTAATATTTAAAAGAAAACTTAATAAGTCATAAACCAATAATTTTTGTAATAAACGCTACATACATGAAACAATACACAATTAAATCTGTCACCAAATTAAAGTGCTAAATCGCTGGTGTTCTATTAAAAAAAATCTTTATTTTTAATTAAAAAAATCATTTTTTTCATTGTCATTTATCCCAACAATGTATAATATATTTTCGCTATATGTAGGTCAAAATATTAAATATTAGCCACTTCATAATAAAAATTTCCAATTTTAGTTTTCAACTGTAAGAAAACATATTTTTCCAAATACCTATTTTTCGGCAAAAAAGAGGAAAAGTGCATTTTTCTCAAAAACTAGTCAAAATTTTGTATAACGTTTATTTACAAAAAATACTCAAAACCAAACCAATAAATAGAATTTTTGAAAATATTCATAGCATTTTATTTAAAAAAATTAACTGTCCTGGTAAAATAAATACTCACTGTCAAACAATTTTTGCATTTGACGCTTTTTCCTCTGTGTGGCACTTATTGCGATAAGCTATAGGAGAATTTTAAAT